TGTGCGTAGAATGATAGCCTTTTGGAGGTGTTGGGCCGCTGTTTTACCTACTTTTGGCGGAGTTAGCTTAAATATTGATCGCCCTGTTAGGTAGTTTGAGGCCAGCGCAGGCACGTTCTTGGACCCTCAGGGTTGATCCATCCTTCTGCCGCAGCACCCAACCCCCTTCTGTAGGGATTTGGGTGTTTGGCCCAGGGATGTCGCCAGCAAAGCCTCATAGGGATCCTTAGGGGTGTAGGGGGAGGGGGGGTAGGGGGCCTTAAGGCCTATAATAAGGACTAATAAGGCCTATTTAAGGAAATATAGTCCCCTACACCCCTAAGGATCCCTATGAAAGCCAGATCTTGGGGCTCCCATGATGTCGTTTTCCATCTACCCCTAGAGTCTCTCTTCATCGTAGTTCCTGCTTTTTGGTTAACCAGTTTTGTGGTTAGGATGCTATAATGGAGATGTTGGTTAACCCCAAAAAACGAACTACAATGGAGACTTTAGGCAGTTTCGAGCTGCAGCTGCAAAGGCGTGGCTTTGGTGCACACCGTGGAAATTCATTCTGCAGCCCCAGGTCCAGCATGTCTCACGGATTCTACACAGCTCTGCGTAGTCTGTCATGAAAGTTTGACTCGCACCAATTACTGCGGGCACTGTGAAGGTCGATGGGGATCAGGTGTCAATCGACTATGCGTCCTGCAGCCTATGCCCTGCGCCTGGAAATTCATGAACTCCTGTTACAAGCTGTGCCCGGTTGGTTGCAAGTGTGCTCTAAGCAGTTTGACAGCTGGAAAGGTGCCAGGCTGTGCCCACTAACGCTTCAGTGCTCATATTCAAGCCTGAGGGCCCATGTACTCATATAGCATATACTTTGGCCCAAAGTACTTGAACAGTGACTACATTAAGGCCAATGTATATACTATATGAGTACATGGACCCTTAGAGCAATTATCGATCCGGTATAGAATCCTTACGGACCCTGGGGCTCTCCAGCCCTAAATATTGAAAACCCACCAAACGAAAGCATAGCCATGGATTCATCATCACGCAGCCCTATAAGCCCTGAATCCTGCCTGTTACTGCGCATGCAGCGCGTTCAACCCTCAACTCCTCGAACTACTAGTAGTTCATCTTTTGGCATTACCTTATCGAACTCTATATATGAACCCCCAAAAAGGAACTACTTTGGGGCCCATGGGTAAAGCGCAATAGCCAAACCTATCGACCATCAATTCCGGGAACCTCAAAACCTGCAACCTGAAGCCATGTGCACAAGCTCAGATGCCCAAGGGCCCAGTCTGTGTGCGCCTGCTATCTGTCATTCTGCGAAACAGCTTGATGGCTCTTTTCCACGGCTCCCATGGCCGAGACATGCTACAGCGCTAAGACTGGCAGTGATCCGGATGTATGGGGTGTGACGTTTGAAAATTGAGGATCCGTAACGGGGTGTACAGAGTGCGACTTGCGATGTCAAGTGTCTGCCAGTCCAGCGAGCTGTAGATCATTTCAAGCGCGTAATCTGCCGTCCGCCGAGGGTTTTTGAAGCTTCAAGTCTGTGTGACCCTCCAGATGTCGAGTAAAAGGCGGTTCGATTTCAGGGCGGGAGTCCGATGTTCAATTCGGAAGTTCTGGGCTTTGTGATGCTCTGGCGGTCATTCCGCTGCTACATGAGCCCGCGCATATCAACACATCTTCTCCGGGGAGGTGAAATTTGCAGCATGTGGGGATGTTGCTGTCACTCCAACTCATGGTACCATGGCCCACTGCAGCGCCCTAAAACCTTAACCCCCCCTAAATCCCAGACGATTCGGTGGTTTGCGACAGTGCCTCATCTGTGTACCACCTTCGAATCGCCTGAAGCTCACGATGCGCATCGCCGCGAGGGTCAACAGACTCGGTTATAGGCGACGGACAAGCACAGGACCCGGGTAAGTGCAGTTCAGTGTTACTATGGGCAGTTCTAGGGATCAAGAATCTTGGACGGTAGGCCACCAACAATCTGAATTTGAGACCAAAGCCGCAAGCCCTGAAAGCAAGCTGTGCTCGGGGCCTGGAACAGTTCAGCATCAGAGTCCTTTAAGCCCAGTTTCTTGTATGTTGTTTGGGAAGACTGAGACAAGGAGAAGGAAAAGGGGGCTCCGCAAGTTGTTGTTGTGGGGATTTGTGTCTATATAGCTCTCCGATACAACATGTTTGACATATCTTGCTAGGTGGGGCTTTGGGACATTTTATATTTTCCCTTATTGGCCTTAAGAGGATCTTACCTACTAATATGGCTTTGAAAGCACCTCCTAGCTTGGCGTTTGATTCTATTTTGTGCTTTGGATGTCCTGGGAGGTTTGTATTCGTCTGGGAGTTTAGACTGGTTTAGTCTGCACCATTGGTAAGTGGGCAGTTAAGACTTGGCCGTAAATAAGGCTGAGTAGCTCTCTGGAGCATGCCTTAGGCTTCAGGCTTCCTTTTACAAGGATTCCTTTCAGGGGCTCCTTTAAGGTTTTCTTTAGAGGGCTCCTTGAAAACGCTAAGCCTTCAGAGCCTCGAACGCCCCTGGACTCTCGAAGCCTCCGACGGACCGCAAGAGGCCCTGCTCCGAGATTCCTTGCGAGACGGCTGTTATAAACCTCCCAGACCTTCCAAAATCCCTTAATAAAGCAATATACCTTAAACCATATTAGGAGCCCTATTATAATTTAAGGTATATCCCTTAGTTAAGGGATTTTGGAAGGTCTGGGCTTTTGAAACCCCAAAAGCCCAATCCCTGAGCTACGCTTTGGGGATCGGGCTTTGAGGGCTTAGAAGCTCTTGGTGGTTTCTCCTCGAAGATCTTGTGTCAGTTATGGCACGGGCTTCTTCCGTCTGGGCTTTTTGGCATGCGGTCATTGTCTGGCCAAGCAGAATGTATGCAAGTTGCCAGCTCAGGTATCGTTGTTCCTGAAGTCCGTGACTACCGGCTACCTCATTCCACACTCGGAAGTGCTTTTGAAGCAATAATGCGACACATATTTCAACAACAAGCAAACTAGGACTTTTGGCCTCGAGGACGGACTCTCAAGGAAAGGGTGCGGGCTTGTGTGGGTAGTGAATGTAGGGGTCGGAATAACTTGCGATATTGCCCCCTTTGTATTTGTTATAAACAACTATACTACAAGGTACCCCTAAGCCTTGTTCTAAGTGTTGAGCACTCCGTATTCTGTTGCTCGTGGTAGTTTCGGAGGTTTCGACTAGCTTTTAGGGCTGTGGGTTTAGGGTTTACGGTTTAGTGATGAGGCTCTTGGGTTTAACGGTTCAGGGTTTAGGGCTGAGGCTAAGTTGGGTTTGGCGATGCAGGGTTTGGGCTGAGAGTTTTGGGTTTAAGGCTTCGGGATTTAGGGTTTCTGCTGAGGGTTTGGGGTTTTGGGTCAGGGGCCTTGGTAGGCAACCGTTAACATTTTTGCTTCGTAGACTCTTAGCCGATGTCAAGCCAGAGGTTGACCGTTTTTGGGGCTGGTGCACTCCCACCTTCAAATCAACTAACAGCTTTGCTGCAACTGTTGCAGCACTTTTTGTATCATCCTGAGTTTTACTTGTGTTCAGGGTTTAGTGTTTACGGTTGTCTGGGAAGGCTGTGTTTGCGATCTTCTTTACACGATGGTGTTCTGACTGTATCCGCAGCCACTGCATCTGCTTCAGTAGGTTCCTATTGCTAAATGGATGGTTCTCTTAATTAATATAGGGGCCTATATAGTTACCGGTTCCTCATCATATTTAGAGTATACTGGGCTCCAAACCCTATTCTATGAAGTCTGAGTGGGCAATCATGATTTTGTTCTTTCAGCCTTGTGCAAGCCCCGTTTGTGAGGCAGGCTGTTACTCTGCTTGGAGCTGCGAAGTGGAGAAAGAGCCAATGCACATTAAAAAAAAAAAAAACCTATTCTAATTATTAAGGTACAGTCTCTGATCAGGTCCTCCCTTAACGTGGGCTTCATTACACACTCAAAGAGTAACACCTTTTCAGTATTACCAAAAGGTGCCCCCTAGCTTAAGTACCCCCAATACCTAAAGACCTCCCTAAACTCTAAGCCTCTAAGCCCCACTCCCCCCCCAAACCTAAAGCCCTACAGCCGTGCATTGTGAACCAGGTGAGCATTCAGAACCAGGTGGTAACCTGGGAGCTCACGATGACCCTCGGCAGAACCAGCTAGGGTCCCTCTTGGAGTTACACTTAGGGTCGTGCTGGACCTAATTGTGCATATACTTTGGCAAGCAAAATACCGTACTTATACCCAAACGCGGTGTGAACAACAAAGCATATGCTACATAGGTATATGAACTGGTAGGGTCGTGCTGCCTTGCGCCAGCAGTGGCTTACCCACGCACCCTACATAACGTCGCACCGTGGCTTGGGCCACTGTAGTCCCCGTAAACTTTGTCGGCTACCGTCCTTCAAAAGGTGGTGATCTAGGTTTTAGGGTTTAGGGTGGAGGGTACCTTGCTAGGGGCTTCTGGACCGTTTTGAAGTTGAGTCAATCATGAAGAACTCCTTGTCCCAGGAAGACGTGCCTTCAGCAGTTCGAGGGTCTGCGCTTTCTTTCCTTTTCTGTTATGCTTCTCCTACATTCTGCATTGAAAACCCGGAACCCTAAGTTCGAATCTTAAGCCCCTTATCCTTTCAGCCGCATTCTGCAGGGCTCTGTGCCTAAACCCCCAACCCTGAAGCCCTAAACCCTAAAACCTCAATCAACCCCGGAACCCTAAAGCCCTAAGAACCGTAGACACGGTCACCGCGGAAGAAAGAACACTTCTCGCTGAATCTCCGCTGATCAGTCCTCCCCCTACCACTCCGCCCAGCTCATTCATGTAGATTTTACCCTGCCTCCATTGCTATTTCTATGGTCCTTAGCTATGTCTGTACGCGACTGCACTTGGCCCAAGTCCCCCGTTGAAAAATTCACAAGGGTTGACTTACCGGTAACTAGCCGTGTCAAGCTGGTAGCCTGGGAAACTTCAGGTTATCAGCCGTAGTTAGCTCCGTAATGGACATCGTGCCGTTCACAACGGCCGCGGGCAACAACGGTGACGGTGGTATTGGTGGTAGACAGGAGCAGGAAGCGAACCAGTACTTCTTGCATTTGTTGCAGGAGAATACTCAGGTGAACTTGTTCCTGAATGACCCCCGCATTCAAAGTGCCTTGGAGCTTCGCGCGGAACAAAGACATCGATTTGCATTGGACAACGTGTACGCCGAAGCCAACGCATACATTGCACACCTAGAGGCAACAGCGGATGCGAATCATCGTCAACAGCTAGCATTTGTGAGCCAATCCACACACCTGTTGGTGGGACAGCTACACAATGAAGTACGAGTGCTAGAGACAATCGCCCGAGCAGAACGACAATCAGCCAATGAGCTGCAGGCACAGCTGGCACGCGCACAAAGGGAAAGTCAAGATGAAAGGTCTATGGCCATGCAGTTTGATGCACATCGATCCGAGCTGGAAGCAGCAGCGCGCACGCTCACTGCGGAAAACAGACAGCATGAACGCCGTTTCGCGGAATTGCGCTCGAGTATCGAAGAAAACCACAGTGAGATGATTGCCTTTTTAGGGTCTGAGTTTGAGGAAAAGCTTCAATGGGAAGAGAATGAGTACTACCATAGGCTAACCTCTGAGGCACAGCAGTACGATAGCTTGGTTGATGACCTGCAGGACAGGAACGCGGAGCTTATAGCTGAGGTCGACTCACTCAGGACTGTCTTGTCGACAGCGGAGAGTAGCCCGCCGCAAGGTGGTGCCGTGCCGGTGAAAGTCGATCCCAGTGAGAGCTCCAAACTTCAACCAAGCCCACCGCAAGGTGGTGCCGCAGCGCCGCTTGTTCAGGGTCCTAGTCATTCATGGATTCCGACCCTTCCGAACCCCAGGGAGATTCCTGTGTCGCTTCGGACGGTTTTGGGAAGGACCCAACGGTATGACATTGGTGAGCCTGAGGATTCCAAGGCCCACAATGTAGCGGTATCTGCTGCTGAACAGAGTGATAACAAAGAACCGGCAGAATCTACTGAAAACAAAGAACCTAGCGTACTTCTCGCTGAAGCACTCAAGTCGGTTATCCAGAAGCCTGACGATGACAAACCCAAGGCTAAGGAAGCTGAAACGGTGAAGCTACCCGACTTTCCTAACCCGGAGACTTACAGGAGCTGGAAGATCACAGTTAGGGAGGCCGTACGGGCAGCATCGGACAGACCCGATGAGGCATTCAAATGGGTTCAAGAGGTTTACTCCAGGGACGCCGATCCGGAGAAGTTGAGGGACACGGGTAAATTCCTCACTTTGGATACGAAGATTCTTTCGGCGCTTTCGAGGGTTGCTAGGGGTGATCTCGGACGACAGATCATTAACTACAAGGAGTCTGAGGCAGCTGCGGGTAGGGCCGTTCGTGGTAGACAGGTTCTACTGATGTTCGAACACTACTTTAAGACCAACGAGGAAGCAGGCTCCCTCTACTCTGTAGAAGATCTACTCAAGGTGCAGCTGAATGGTGATGACCTTAGCACTTTCATTCACAATTGGGAGTCAGTCATCGCGGGGTTGAACCACCAACCCGAGGAGACTACACTGAGAGATATTCTACTTCGGCAGCTTCGCAATGCTAGCAAGCTCAAGTTTGATCTGGAAGTTTACGATAGCCCAGGCGCTCCAAAGTACACCCAATCAGCCTACATTTGCCTGCGTAGACCCAAAACTGACTGCATAGGGGCTGAAAGGGGCTACGTGGGCGAATTTGGCATACATTCCTAGAGGCCTTCCGGGAGTAATTTGTATGGGTCTCCTTAGGATGACAGTCAAGGTGGTGGAGTATCGATTCAATCTTGCTACACATCGATTTTGGTTGTCTCTCCACTGTTTTATTGACGACACCTGTTAAAATTATACAGCAACTCTTCATCCGGACACCTTCGTCGATCTTTTCACTTCATGCAAGCTCCGAGCCTCAAGAGGTAACGCAAAAGCATCTTCTCTTCTAACGCGTTTGCAGACATGTTCTGCGCTAGTTTCTTCCACTGGAGGACACAATCCTCATCGATAAAAGCATGATACGCCCTTGCCGATTCAAGGGTTCGAACCATGTCCTCATTCAGGTGCTTGTATGCCTGGTATTGAAGCGAGTTTTCGCACGAAATAAAGGAACGCTTTTCAAAAAAGGTACATATACTACGTACTTATAAATAATACGAGATGCGTGCACCTTAGGCAACACCTTCCACCTCAAAAGAGAGTGGGAGCTGGCGAACTTGGCGAGGCTTGCGATGTACTTGAGGTATGTATCTCCATGATCAGAAATACTCTGTGCTTCCTCGGGTTGAAGAAATCGTCGGTCAGCTTGCTCTTGCTCGAAGAACCAACAAACAAGCTCTCGGGTTGCAGATGATGCAAGAAGCAATTCTGGATTCGGCTCACGACCGGCAGATTCGTCGAGCTTCAGCTGGTCAAGCAGGCATACATCCAAAAATGCGAGGAATACTCTGGTATTCCAGGCTTTCAAGGTCAAGCAAACGTGCTCCCCCGCTTCCGTTGCGTCGCGCAACATGCCCACAGTGATGATCGGAACCGAATGCCTTCGAATCTTTAGTGCACTAGCCCAACGACTCTCTAGCTAGGTATATTAAACGCTATTTCTTATGTATGACAGGGTGCTCCACCGGTGGCCTTTGCGACCGAGCCCAACGCCTGAAATGCAGACTTGCTTCTCGAAGGCCACTAGACAAGTCGGAATGGTTCCCCCAGTAGCCTCGCATCAGAAAAACGACCTATCAGTTATCATCACCGAAACAAAAGCATCTATTTAAAATCTATATAACATTATAATAATTAATTAGTAATGTACTGCATGCCTAGTATCGCAAGGAAAGCAGCAGCTCCAGACAGCTACCGGCATGGGTTTGTCCAAATCCCAGATTCACAGTGTGCATCGAACAAAATTTGATTTGAACAGATGGTCGGAATCCGACCAGGGTGATCAATGGGTTCGTGCTGCCGTCGGCCATTACTTTCGATATGATGTTAGCATCACTCCGCCGTTGATGGCAGCGAGAGAGGTCTGTAGCCCATCTTAGGTCAATATAAAGACCCGGAAGCCATCTAAAAAACATACGAGGTAACATATACGGTGAAAAATAACTATTGCCGACCCCGATACCCATCTGATCCGGCTTGCTTTGCAGAGCAAAGGTGACAAACGTTAGCAGCCCTAAAGTGGTAGCTTGCGGTGAATCCCCACGTTTCCTTCAGCCACTTCCAGTCTCCCCGGTGTTCCACGACCACGCAAGTGCGACCTGGTAACTACATGATCACAACACCACCTAAATTTAAACCTTAAACCGCTAAACCCTAAACTATATTATTATATATATATATATATATTATAAACCTCAAACTTTTATACACACCCAGGCCATATAGGACCCGATAAGTACGTAGAACGTAGCTATGGATTCCCCTGCGTGCAGCGAGAGCCGCCTTTGTCGATGAGCTGCCCGGCTTTTTTGGCCAGGTTCTTCGGAAGGGGTTCCGAATCCGGTCCAACAGTTGGATGCTTGCCACTGTAGAGAACCTGGGATCATTCAGTCGTTGGGTATATATATATATATATATATATATATATATATTAATTAGTTGGCCATATTCTGAAACATAAACAATTGCAGTTTAATTGTATGACGGCTAGGAACGTTCAGGCTCCAGGCTAGCACTCTGTAGACTGGGCGTAGTGTCCGGCCACCAGGAAGGCATAGGTGGTCTCGAATCGTAAAGAGCGGGTAGCGGTGCATCTGCTTGCCTCGCATTGCAAGTGCTAGCTGGCTAAGTCCGAGCTCTAGATCCACACAGCCAACCGCAAACTGGGGACCCAAACTTAGACCACCGTTATTGCCAAGCATCCCTGTCGTTCATGCAATATCGCGTTCATTGTGAAGAGAATAAGCTTTTCGTGCTTCTTGTTGTAACGGGCATCGTCGCCCCAAAGTCCAAGTGGTACGGATCGTTCGTCGAAGCCAACCGGAGTCACAGAGGATCTAGATTTCACATGCTGCCAGTACTTCTCCAGCGCTTGGCTGGAGACATCTATCAGCCCGCCATCCTCGGCTGCACAGTAGATCATCGAACCCATAAACATATATCCCCTCCGAAGCTTGTACGTACCTGTACCGAAACAGATTCGAATATTTTATTTTAGATCAGCATCGACCCATGCAGCGTACAACTCATGTGGAAGTACCAGCGGAAACTCCATCACAGTTTCTGTTGCTCGGTCTTCAGGGTTGCGGATGGGGACTTTGACATAGAAGAGTTCCTGAGGATGTGACGAGTACCGGGATATGTTGAGATTATTATACTGTTCGAACTTTAGGGTTTATTAGGGTAATTTGGGCGGGATAAATTTAGTGAAAAACGTGCTTCAAGTCGGCCCAATAGCTAAAGGGAGCTTCAGGGCTCGGAAGATGTCTCTCGAGACGTTCTGGCGATGCCGTCCACAGCTGCCCGCCTTCGCCAGCCTTTTTGTGAGGTCACTTCCGTGGCCTCCGGACTCCGCCAACATAGCTGCTGCTGCCTCTTGGAGAGCACATGCTGTCGATGCCTGGGATGATCGGCTGGAAGGTTGGGGTTTTAAGCTTGCGCACCAGCTACCATTAGATTGCAGCCCAAGCACTCCTGTGCCCAAATTCCGCAGCATAAGGTCTGCAAAGGCCGTATCATCTGCGAGGGGAAGGGGTATAGTAATACTGAGATTAGCTAAGTGTAGTATGGTTTTTTATGGCAGGATCGCGCAAGCCAGCTGCAAAACATATAGTCCGATACCGATCGATTGACCACACACGGTACATGTAAGCAAACTGCAAAACATATAGGCCGATCGATCATGACCACACATGGCACATGCCATCACTTCTTGCCCGGCTTTGCTGCCGCTTTACCTTTAGCCTTAGCATTACCCTTGGGGTTGGCCTTCGGCTTCGGGGCTGTGCAGTGCAATTTCACGTGCTTGCTAGCGGTCTTATACGCCGAGTTCGACGTCGTCAGCTTCTTCAAGCACTCCTCCAGCTGGGCGCCTTCGGCCTGCTGGGCCAGCATCTCCTGCAATAATATAATTAGTAGTATTACCTGTTCTGGCCAATATCGGATTCGACACAATAGCGTCTGCACATCGATTTTGAGCCGGCTTTTAGGGTTGTAAGGTTTAGGTTTTGTTGGGTTTCCCGGTGGGGGCTCCGATTAGGCTTTTAAGCTTTTAAGGTTTATAGGGTTTAGGGTCTATTAGGGTTATTAGGGTTTCGGGGTTACTAGCATAGGTGTGTTAACCCTAGATCACAGCCTGCACCTCTTCGAGGTGCTGCTTCAGAATCGCGAAATGCGTCTGCATTGTGGCACATAGCGCTTCAATCAATTCCTTGCCCCTCGGATCATCCAAGTACCGAAAACCCCTAGTCAGGAACCGAGGCAGCATTGCAAACGAGCGGCACGTTGTTCTTCTCGAGTTGGGTCTTGTAGCTTTTGATCTCCAGAAGATAGGAGTTGCAAAGGCTGATAGCCTTGGATGCTTTAGGAGGGCATAGGGTTTATATTGAGGTCTTGCTACCAGGACTCAGAGGGATGTGTTTTGGAACCAATATTGCTAGGTAGCATTCTTCGCGAGTTGGACCGTGGTCTTGGCTTTGATGGTTTTCGGGTTCTCCTTATTAGTCCTCGTCCTCCCTCCGGACCCGGACTCCGAACCTTGGTCCTGGCCCCCGGTTGCTCCATCGAAGGCGTTGCCGGTGTTGACATTTCCCTCGCGATGGAATTCGAGTTGATACTTCTCCATGAGTTCCTGCGTCTCTGTCGAGTCAACCCAACACTTGTAGAGCCGCATCACCTGCACAGGCACCGGGGCTTATTATAATGATTAGTTGCGGGCTTATAATTTTGGCCCAGGCCT